GCCTTTCCACTGCCAGACATGTGAGAGAGGTCGTCCACCACCACCAGCCCCCAACTGACTGCAACTACATGAGTAAGCCTGGATAAGACCAGAACTGCCCAGCTGAGCCCAGATTGCCAATTCATAGAACAATAAATTGTGGTCTTGGGCCTCTGGGCTTGGGTGGTTTGTTAAGTAGCAAAGACTAACTGATACATATACCTTGTGAATATACACTGTGCAGACAACACCTGTACACATATGTATATGCCCAAAAATGTACACAGATGGCCTTCCATTAAAAATCTGTCAGCACCCACACAGACACTCACATGCCCCGAACAGATCACATACACACACACCAACCATCACCCAACCCCACACGCATCTCTATTCGGACCATTCTCCTGGCTGCTCACATGTCAATGTTAATGCCAACCTGGAAATGGAAGGGTTGACATTGCCCCAGCTCTATGTCCCTAGCACTGGTTCAGAACATGGAGAGAGACCTGGCAGACTTTTGCTGAATGAATGGATGAACAAAACAAAGGGCAGAGAATGGGCCATATGATGGCACCAGTGAGCAGATGGTGCTGAGGGTTCCCATGGGTAAATGGTGAGCCCTAGCAGCGGGGGCCACAGCTTCTGTTTGTTTGTTTGTTTTTTGGTATGAGCCCCTAGTGGGAAGTGAACCCGGGACTCTCTGGTCTGCAGGCTGACGCTCCAACCGCTGAGCCAAACTGGCCAGGGCACAGATTCTGTTTTTATACCCCTTAGAGACCCACATGGGCAGGGACATACAGTGGTGCTCACAAATGCTTATCTTACAAATTGTCCTTGTGCTTGAGATTCTACTTTTTAAATTGGTTCCACTGTTTTCATAAAAAGTGGAGATTGTTGAAAATCACTTGAAGGGTCCAGCCGGTGTGGCTCAGTGGTTGAACATCGACCCATGCACCAAGGGGTTTCTGGTTCAATTCCCGGTCAGGCTGTGGACCCGATCCCCAGTGGGGGACATGCAGGAGGTAGCCAGTCAATGTTGTCTCTCATCGATGTTTCTGTCCCTCTCTCCCTCTCATTTCCTCTCTTTCTAAAATCAACAAAGAAAAAAAAACTTTTAAGAAAAAAAATCACTTGAAGGGTTACAGGAGAGAAATTGGAACCAATAAATTCTCTTCTATGTGTAACTATGAGGAAATTGAGGATGCCTGAGAATTAAGGATGGGCTAAGAGGAAACTGAGGCAATGAAAAACAAACCACGTAGTAACTCCAGGAAAAAAACAAAGTTTCACAAGAAAGGAACTGTAACCATAATGTGTGACTTGGCTTGGCAGGAAATAATTCTTACATAGTTATAATATAAATAACACTAAATATTTGTTTAATGAAAAATTGCAACAAATGTAGATTGAAAGGAGAGGAGGGCCAGAACAGTTAAATCTTCCTTGACAATAATAATTATAGAAAGAAACCGTTTTGACCATTCACTGGGTAATGTGCATTATTCTAGGCTCTTTACATGCTGAATCCTCACAACAATCCAGCATCTGTTATATTTGTATTACTCTCATTTTACAAATGAGGAAACTGAGGCACGGGAAGATTAAGTCACTTGCCCAAAGTCATACGGCCAGTCAGGGGAAGGGCTGGGGATTCAACCTAGGCAGTCAGGCTGCCGAAGCCACATATGAAGACATCAGACCAAAAGTAGGTCAATGTTTGCCTAAACTTGACTTAAAAGGAAAGGCATGTTACCTAGAAATGTGGAGAAACGTACCCGAAGAACTTGTTAAAAGAGTTGAACGTGGTTGCAGGGGAGCTGGGCTGGGAGTGAAGACGGGGCAAGAGAATGTTTTTCATTAGTACTAGTTTATTCATATAGATACGTGGATATACCCATGAGGTGGGGACAGGAGTTGAGAGAGAAGGAATGGGGAAAACTTTCCATGTTGAGAGTGTTGCCCTGTATCCTGATTGGGGCTTGGGGTACAGTATGTTTTTGTATGAACTCAGCAAAGGGTACCTTTAAGATCTGTGCATTTCACTGATTTTTCCTCCCTGCCCGAAAGATAAAAGAACTGTAAACAAATTCTATTGAACTATGGCTAATGACATACATGCCAAAGCGCCTTTAAGGGGAAGCATACTACTGTTTGCAGCTTACTTTGAAAAGCTTCAAAAAGATAAGCTGTCTTAATAGATGGATGGGGAGTAGATACCTGATAAGGCAAATCTAGCAAAACATTAAGAACTGAGCATCCAGCAGGTAGACAGATGTATTCACCATGTAATTCTTGCATATTTTCTTTAAGTTTGCAATTTTTCTTAATAAAGTGTTGGAGAAAATATATGAATGTTACCTGAAAAATAATATTGAACCTTTAAAAACCTGAATGGGGTGTTCAGTCTTGGGCCTGGGTTGATCCACACAACTCTAAGCCCTCCCGTGTGCATGTCTATCTGGTGGAGACAGCTGTTACCATGATCTCACCCATGTCCCTACCTTACCCTGGGATCCTGTAGCCCAATTCTTCAGTCCTTCCATGCTCCCCCTGGATGTCAGGCAGGATGAGGTTCTTCTTCCCCCGGTCCCTTGAATGCCTCAGTAGCAGAACCAGAACCATTTCACCAGGGACAGTAACAAGGCCCTCTAGCTACACTGCATCCTCTTGCCAGGAGGATAAACTGAAGTCTGGCAGATGGGGTTGGGTGCCTTTCCCAGGGGCCCATCACACCTTCACAACGGAAGTGAGCAGCCAGGTTGCTGGTCTCCCAAGCCCACGTGTATATAATTAGCTGGTGGGAAATAGATCAGGGGGCAAATCTCATCTCTGCCTAATTAGGGGCTAGGCAGCTGGGGCCAGTCTGGCCTGGAGGAGCTGCTATGGGGGCCAAGCAGCCCCTGGGGCTGGGCAGCAGCTGCAGGCCCTCAGAGGGGCTGAGAGGCAGCGGCTGCTGCTCATTGCCCCTCACGCTCCAACTGGAGGCAGAACAATAGAGGGGCTGTTTCCACAGATCCCCCAGGCAAGCGAGGCTGGCACGGCTGGTGGGCTGGTTGGGGGAAGTGGCAGAAGCCCCAGCTGTGCCCCACAGATTCCCCACATGAGAGAGTAATTGGCTCCAAACTCCGGCAGAGGGGCAGACCTCCAGAACTAGGAAACCTCTGTTGCAGAAGTCAAGGCTCAGACTGGTACTTTCCCCTCTTTTAAGAATCCTCCATGCTCTCTTCCCAACAGACCCTCCCAATGCCCTTCTCAGCTACCCAGGGCCAGCTCCTGAAACCAACTCTGGTCTCAGGCAGAAGTCCCTGCACACACCTACTCCACATTATATGACTGTGTGCTTACTGCTTGCTTGGCTGCCTGTCTCCTCCCCATCCCAAGACTAGGGCAGGACCCATGTCTGTCTTACCCACTACTGGGCACCCAGTAGGTGCTCAATAAAGTGACCAGAAGGAAAAGTCGCCAGGATGGGGAAGAGGTGAGGCATGAGTCAAAAGATCAGGGAGCCAGAGTGCCGCTAGCTGTGGGTGTCCACAGGTCAGAGTGCAGACCTGCTCTGGGGCAGCCCACAAGCTACTACCCATCCTGCTCGAAGACAAGAGATGACCTTTCTCAGGGGACCCTCAAAAACTCATCTTGAGGATTTAGTGGCAGGATGAGTGTAAAGGGTCTGAACCCAGCATTAAGCCTCCTCCAGGAACAAGAGGCCTCCCAGCCTCAATTTCTTCACATGTAAAATGCAGCCAACACACCCACCATCTTGTGTTTCTGGGGGCTGGCAGGTCACAGCAAGGGCAACACTTAGCACAAAATTATAGCCAGGTTGCCCGGAGGGGTTGGTCTTTGACACCTCAAAGAATACCACCCCTGCAGAGCCTGCCCAGATTATCCACCTGCCCTCATCACTCCTTTAGTTAGGGACAGAGAGGCCCAGCTCCTACATTGTCAAACCTGCTGGGTACCTGTGGGCAGGTCATCACCTTCCCTGTGCCTCAGTTCTTCATCTGTATAATGAAGGGGTGACTGCCATTCTCATGGGATCTAACAGTGTCCTCTCCTATAGCCCAATTTCCCCATATTTCCTTGAACTGCTGGGCCTAGCCCAATCCCCCAGGGGCTGGCTATAGACTGTCGGACAGACAGACAGCTGGGCTAACCTGGATGTTTGTCAACAGCCCAACGGAAATCTCCTCTTTATGCTTAAAATAAAACCTACATCAAACCTGTCACTAGGGCCCCCATTAGAGCTTCCTGTTTCTGAGTGCTGCAGCCAAGGCAGCCTGCATGGAAGGAAGCACCACCCAGCCCACCCCCTCTCTCACCCAAGTGCGGGCAGAGGCCACCCAGGCTTTCTTTTATCCTTTGTGTCCCAGCTCTAGCACTGGCTGCCTCACCACCCAAAGCGACATCTCCTAACAGGTAACTAACCTGGAGAGAGACAAAAAGGAGCTGAGACCTCAAAGCCCAGTGCCAGCTGCTTCTTTCCTTCCCCCAACTCAAAGAAGACTGTGCTGTCCAACTCTTCCACTGAAGCCCAGAGAGGAACACTGGCTTGTCCAGGGTCACCCAGAGTTGGAGATAAGTCCACTCATGTTGTGCTGTCCACCCAAGTTCCTCTTCCTCCAAGAACTCCCACCTCTAACCCCCAAGTCTATGGTCTGTGTGACCTCAAGTTTGGGGTTTGCCCTCTCGGAGCATCCTGCACCCTTGGAAACTGGGCAGCGGGTGAGGGAGTCAGAACACTCATGGTCAGGAGGGTCCATGACCATGTCAGCCTTTCCCCTGCAGTTCTCCTTCCTGGTCCAGGGGAAAGGCTCCAGTCCCAGTCCCAGCTCTAACCCCAACTCAGTGCCTGGGCCCTGTTTCTTCTTTTATGAAGGAAGAGCACCAGCCTCCCTGAGGATCCCTCATGCCAGGCCAACCACTGACCTCATGCCCCACTGGATCCTGGGTAAACAATTACTAGGTCTGGAAGGCCCCACCCCAAGACTTCTCCCACCCCTCCCCCTCGTGAACACAGAAGAGTCTGGTGACCCAGCCATTGAAAAGCAAGCATTTGTATTTATTAAGCAAAAGGAGGGAAGCCAGAGCAATGCAGACTCCTTACCAGTCCCTCCTGTAATCTACCCACCTAGGCCAGGCTGCCAAGGCTGCCTCCACTCTAGGGTGAGTTCCCAGTGAACCAGGGCCCACTGAGTAAGGAAGAGGAAGTCAGCAAAGGAAGGAAGAAAGAAACAGAGCCACTGGGCTGACAGACCTGGTAGAGATCCTTGGTCCCTCACTCTCAATAGGGAGGGCTAAATGCCCCAACCCATGAGAGGAACCAAGCAGAGGTACACGCATGTCAAACCCCTACACGTGAGGAATAGGGAGTGCTCCAAGGTCAAGAGGCAACTCTCTCCAGGGTCTGTCCTTGCCCGATTGATGCTGGCCCAGCCCCTGAGCCTTTCCCTCCATACCAAGTTCACGAAAGGCAGCAGTCTCTGGTCGGCCCCAAACCAGGAAAAGGGTGCAGGAGAGGCCAAGGGGCCAACTGCCTCTCTAAGATCTGTCCTGTGCCGATTTCCGAGTGCCGTGGAGGCTTATCCCTCGGCTGCTGGAGTCTCCCGCGCTTGCCGCAGCCCGTACAACCACTTGATCACGCGGGCATTGCGCTCCACCACGGACACGCCGTAGGGGACACGCTCCCGGGCCCGCTCCTCAACAGTGGCAGAGCTGCGGCGGGAGCAGCCCCCCTCGGAGCTGCCTGGCCCAGCACTGGGCCCGGCCAGAGACACTATGTCTGAACTGGCCCGCGCCAGGTGGGCCACACCCAACCCCCGTGCCTCCTCCGGGTCCAGGCCACAGAAGTTAAAAAATCGCTCCAGGTCAGCTGCTGCCCGTGAGAAGCGCTCACTCAGGTCCGACTTGGAGCGTTGCAAACCCGGGGGCCGGGCTGGACTGGAGGCGGCAGTGTCTGGTGATGGGCAGGGCTGGGCAGGTGAGGCAGGCAGGGGACGGACATCCACTCGGCGGACCGCAGTCGTACTGGGCTGCGGGCGTGGGGGGGTAGCCGGGGGGTCCTGGTGGGCTCCCTCTGCTCGTCCAGGGGTACGGCTAGTCTCGGCAGAGGACACAGGGCTATCACACAAGTCGATAAGGCTGCTAAGGATGTCCAGGTCCAGTTGGGGCCGGCGGCAGGGGCCGGGCAGGGCTCGGCGGCTAGAAGTAAGCACAGTGCGACGTGTCCCGGGGCTGAAGAGCGGCTGCTTAGACAGCAGGGGTTGCACAGGTTCCTGGCGGGTGTTGGCCACATGCAGGCTCTTGACATACTTGGCCTTGTCAGCCTCCAGGCGCTCCACAGCACTAGGTTTCCGGGCTCCACCATCTGCCGGCCGCCGCAGCAGGTAGCCCGGGACCTTAGTCCGCAGGCGAAAAGGTAGGGCGGAGGTGTCCCGAGCTCCAGGAGACAGCATGTCCACAGGCATGACTGTTACATACCCCCAAGGCCTTCTGTATGAGGAGATCGAGACCGGAGAAACGAGAAGACAGCGATCCAGGCAGAAAGTTGGCAGCTGGACGCTGCAACGGCTGCAGAGGAGGAAAGAAAGAGAGGGCTGAGCTCGCTCAGACAAAGGCTCAGCAAAGACTGGAAGAGGCTGAAGACGCCTTCCCCATTAAAAGTGAAGGCCACACCCCTGATTCACAAAAAACCAATGAGGAGGCAGAAAGCACCCGCAGCAGGGTTTGAGGCTCCGCCCACACACCCGCCCTCCTCGAAGAACTGGGCCCAGCTGAGGCGGAGAGAAAAAAGGTACCAAAGAAAAAACATGAGCAGCCTGCGCAGAAAAGACCGGGCAAGGCACAAGGAAGCCAAGTGGGCTCCGAGCTGTGTGTTGGGCACTAGCCGGCTTAACCTCAGCGGGTCCTTTTAACAGCTTCATTTTGCAGATGGGGAAACTGAAGTCCAGGAAGGCAACGAACTTGATTAAGCTTATTCAGCAAGTTGGTGGCTCTACTCCTAGCCTCCAAGCAAGGAGGTGCTGCCACAGGAGTCTTGGGTTTATGTGATCGAGAGAAGGGGCTCCAACCCAATCTGGACTGCCCACAGGGAGCCTGGTACCACCTCTACCCCTCACCTACCCAAACAGGAAGCTGCTGTGCCATCCACCTGCCTAGACATGCCAGGCCCCAGGCACAGCAGCAGAGCTTGTGGGGGAGGAGTGTAGAAAATCGCCACCTCCACCACAGTGGAGTACAGGCACCATCAGCTTCCAGTATGGGACTCCAATGCCTGGCCCACAGTGATCCATGAACACCTGTCACAAGGAACGACTGTCAGCCCTAAGCTATGCTGCTCCAGAGTGGCTGGAAATGCCGAAGATCACGCGGCCCTGCTTGGGGGCATCCAACAGACACCCTGATCTGCCAGCAGACCCATAGGCAGGAGTGCCCACACCTGGGTGCACAAGTATCTACATAAACACCTAGGCATCAGAGCCTGGTGTCCAGGCATCAGGCCATCTCAATCCCTTTTTCCAAGGAAGGGCTGAGGCCACAAAGTGCACCCGCAGCCTCCCTGGAGATGGGCCAGAAGAAAACCTGTAGACCAAGTCCTGAACTTTCTCATCTGTTAATTGGGGGAGGAGGACTTTGTCAAAGTGATAACTAAGAGGTCTTGTAGTTCAGGTCATCTAGAGCTGTGTTGTCTAATTCAATATCCACTATCTACAACCTTAGCTTTAAATTTAAATTAAATAAAATTTACAATTTTGTTCAAGAATCACACTAGCCACATTGCAAGTGCTCAATAGCCATAGGTGGCTAGTGGTCACTACAATAGGCAGCACAACTAGTGGTCACTACAACTGACAGCATTTCCATCCTTAGCAGAATGTATCAGACAGCCCCAACTAGACATCCAGAATTCCAGGAGGGAACGTCTAGATTGGGGTGGGGAGACAGGTATCTCTACTGTGTGCTAAATGTTTGACACTGTCCTCTCCTGTAAGCAGCCAACAAGCCAGTGAGATGGGTCACTGTCACCTCATTTTACAAATGAAAAAACTGAGACTCAGAGAAGTGACAAACCTAGGCCCCAGAACAGATAAATAAGACCCAAGTCACATGAAGCTGAATTCACTTATCTATTATGTTTATGGTAGTTTAACCCTTTGTTGTTCCCATTCCTCTAACAGCAGTTCTCAACCTGAGTCGTGACCCCTTTGGGGTCGAATGACCCTTTCACAGGGGTTGCCACATATTTCCGATGGTCTTAGGAACCGAGACACCGCTCCTCTATCCGTCTGCGGTCCGCCCACATGCAGATACACCCACATACAACATGAGAAACTGTATTAAAGGGTCTTGGCATTAGGAAGGTTGAGAACCACTGCTCTAAAATATCAGCTCCATGAGGGCAGGAGTTGGGGTGGAGGGGCGGTATCTGTTTTGTTCACTGTATCTAAGTTTGAAGATACTGCTTTCGACACATAATAGGTATTCAATACAGTTGTGCGGTTTTTTTTCCAATGCAGTTTTATTGACTTGAAATGCCTATGGGGGCCAAATGTAAACGAGCAGACCAGGGATAAACTAAAAAGGTGCACACCCAATCTGCTGCAGGCAATGGGTCCAAGGTGGTTAAGTGTAGAATGTTCTAGGAAGCTGGAAATTCAGAAGTGCAGGAAAACTCTAGATTCTTAAATGTTAGCATATTCAATAATTTTTAAAACATTGCATGTACAGGGCAAATACAACATGTTTGCAAAGGTACCTGCCACCACCACCACCCTTCCATCTGTCCCTCAGCCCCGGTTTGAGACCTTGGCTGCAATAGCAAGTTGAGAATAGAACCTTAGGGACTGTTAGCCCAGAGCCAGGACTGCCCCTCACCGCTCCGCCCCCCCCCCCCCCCCGCCCTAAAAGGGATGGAGTAGGTGGGAAAGGAAGGCTACCCCACTCAGGGCTGAATCCCAGGAGACCTCAGGAAGGAAGGGTCTGATAGGAAAGGCAGTCTTACTGAGCCCAGTAGCTAGACTCTGCCCCACCCCCGGGCTCGCCGCCTCCCAAACCAGTCCAACCCGTCGTCGGCAGCGGTAGTGGTTCCCGGGCACTAGCCCACCATCGGGGAAACAGGGACCAAGGAGGTCAGATGGGCAGAGCCAGGGCAGATGTGAAGAGCCGGACAGGTCTTTGGGGCCTTAGGCCCATCTACTTGCCTGGGGCTTGTCCACCCACCCGCTGCGCCCTTTGTGCAAGCAACCGCGCCTCTTACAGACTCCGTTTGCTTATTTGTGAAAGCGGTTAAAAATAGACCTCCAGGTCACCTTGAGGATGAAGAAATAAAACAGACCGAGGACATTCGTCGGCATCTGGCAAAAAGGCGGTTCTCCATGAACCGGACTCCTTGTTTTTCGTAGGACTTTGACCCAACTCCGCAGACCGCCCTCCCGCCCTCGCAGGGGTCTCTAAACCCGCTCCGGGAGGGTCTGTTCGAGCCAGGGCCGCAGACGAGGGAGGCACAGGACAGAGGCTAATCCGCGTGCTGATCTAAAGAAAGCCCCATTTCACAGGTGGATAAACCTAAGAGCCGCGGCTCCTGCGAGTTGAACCCAGGGTCCCAGACCCCAGGTGGGACTCGCCCTCTGAGTCTCCTCTCATCACCCAACGCCTCACCCACGGGTTTCAAACACCACACACAATGGCCCCCAAAGCGCCATCCCCGGCCCTTCTCATTGGCATCTCCGGGGCATGAATTCCCACCTCGCCCCTCCCCACTGGCTTCCCAGAAGGCAGCCTCGGGAGGAGAGAGGGAGTAGGGCAGCTCGGATGACGGTCTGGCTTCTACCCTTCCCTACTCCGGGGCAATCTGGGAACTCCCGGCGGCGGAGCCCGGCGGCGCGCTGTGTGACTCTAGCCCCTCATCACCCTTCTCTGAGCCCGGGTTGGCCTGGTTCTTAAATGAAGGGCCTCACGGCACGATTTCTGCGGTCTCCATCCAAGCCGGAAGGTGAGCCCCTGCCCCGTACCCGCCTTCCAGAGAAGTAAGGGGCGCTCGGGCCGCCCCCCTGCCTCGACCGGGCGCCCCTGGCCCGCACGTACCTGCCTGCGCCCGCGCCGCTACCCCGCGCTCCCCCGGCCCGTCCCACCTGGGGCTCAAGTAACGAGCGATTGCGCAACTTCCGGCGACCGGCCGTCAGCAGGTGAACCTGTCGACCCAGGTATTATCCGAAAAGAGTGAACGACATTCAGGCAACCAGAGCCCAGACGCGCTGGCAGTAGGCTCGGCGCCAAGACCGGGTCCAGGCGCCCAGGACCCACCCCAGGAAGCTCTTCCGCGAGCAGGGCTCTCTCATTCCACAGCTGCACTGGCCCATCCCGCAGCTAGCCCGCCACGGAGAGAGACAAACTGAGTTCTCCTCCCACAGCCAAAATGACCGCCAGTTTATGTCCACTGTGCCAGGCATGAGAAAGTGCTTTTTCTGGTATCAACCCATTTTAATCTTCCCAACAGCTCCTATGAGGTGAGCTCTATTATTATCCCCACTTGACTAATGTAATACTGAGGCTGGGACAGGCTGAACCAGCTGCCCAAAGTCACCCTGAGGAGTCCAACCTGGGCACTTTCCCTCCAGACCAATCCTTAACGCCACCCCTTTCTAGCTGTGTTGAGCAGGGTGCTCAACCTCTCTGGTCCTCTGCTCTGTCAAGTGAGGAGCATCCCCCCCCTTCCAGGCCAGGTCAGTGTGAGTTCTTAGAGCCTGAGAGTGCCTATAGAAGCTTTGAGAAGCTGTAAACATTAGTAACAGCAATAATAATAATAATAATAATAATAATAATTACTACAATTTTTGAGTGCCAGGCACTGTACTTATTTATTTTGTATATGTTTTTATTGATTTTTTTTAGAGAGAGAGGAAGGAGAGAGAGGTAGAAACATCAACATGAGAGAGAAACATCCATCAGCTGCCTCCCCCACACTCCCTACCCGGGGATCAAGCCCACAACCTGAGCATGTGCCCTGACTGGGAATCGAACCAGGACCTCTCAGTCCATGGGATGATGCTTAATCCACTTGAGCCACACCTGCCAAGCAGTACTGTACTTATTTAAATTTCTGGACAATCTTCCCCCCTCCCTGTTCCCCCTCCCCTCCAGAACTATTTAATTTCCATTTTCCAAGGAAACAGTAGTAGCCCTGCTGGAAGGAAGGAAGGAACCTCTGGGAAGGAGGAGACTGTCTCCTCTGCCAGCCCAAGCCTGGTTGTCACTTCAGGTGGCACATTTGATTGGTCAGTTTCCACTGGGATCCTGAGGCCCAGAGAAGGAAATGCTCCCAGCCTCAGACCCTGGGGAGGCTGAAGAGGGCCCAGTTCTATGTCTGTGCCTGGAGATGGCTATGACAGAATTGGGGTGGAGGGCATGAGGATACAGGAAGTGACTCAGGAAACTGCTCTACCCTGGGAGTGAGTCAACCCTTAGGCCCCCTCCAGGCCCTGGGGCCTGATTTTAGAGGGCTGAGGAAGGCAACAAGACCATCATTCCCCACAGAGGCCTGCTGGCTCCCTGCCTGGCTCTCCACTGAGGCA